TACACTCGTGAGATGGGTCCCACGAATGCACAAGGCTCGGAACTTATCCAAATCACAAAATCTCATGAATAAAATCAACCTTACAAAAGGATGATAGAATCTAAAACTTATACCCCAATTGAATGGTTAGCCTTCTAACTCGTCACTCCCCTCGATTTCCCCGTCCTCAGTTTCGTTTCCTGAAATGGTGGACAAGGAAAACTATGAGATAACTCAGTAAGTAAATATGGATAGCCCTTGGGTAAAATTTAAGCATGCCAGATAAACCATGTCAAAGTAACAGAACTTTCAATGATAAACCATTCCTGCATAATAAAACTCATCAGTAGTCTCATCTATAAGTCATGGCCAGTGTTTAAAACACTCCCACTGGCAGGCGTCAGGTAGTGCCAGTGTTTAAAACACTCCCACTGGCAGGCGTCAGGTAGTGCCAGTGTTTAAAACACTCCCACTGGCAGGCGTCAGGTAGTGCCAGTGTTTAACACACTCCCACTGGCAGGCGTCAGGTAGTGCCAGTGTTTAACACACTCCCACTGGCAGGCGTCAGGTAGTGCCAGTGTTTAACCCCATCGGCAGGGTGAATCGGTTCTACAGAAATACATGTCGACATGTGCTAGCGTTTACAGCTCCCACTAGCGGGCGTCAGTAATCATGACTATATCCGAGACAAAACCATGCAGGATTTCCAAAAATCCGTAATTCACAACCGAAATCCGTAATTCACAATCGAAATCCCAAATTCACAATCGAAATCCCAAATTCCAGAAATAACCAGGAAATTCCATGTGGGCATGGATTTAACAGAAAATCATAATTTACAAAGCTCTCAGTTCATCAAAACAGTTCAGTCAATTTCAAATAGGCAGGCTCTACTCAATGTAATGAAAACAATTTCATTCCAATCATGCTCAATTCCAGAAAAAAAACAATGAAATTCCGGTTTTCATGCTAATCACGCTCAATTCCCGAAAAACAATGAAATTCCCATAAAATCATCACACTTTTCCATTTCAGTTTAATCACACCCAAATACTGATAAAACTGATTTAAAATCAATTTAAACCTTGCCACCATCTCAAAAACAATTGAAAACATGCTTTGAAATCGAAGGGCTTTACCATAATTTACTTACCTCACTCGCACCAACAGAACACTAATCCCAAGTGCTAGAGTGCAGAATAATCAGTACCTAATCAAAACATTTCCCAAAATTAATAC